ATTTATTATAACTATAATTTTTAAATAACAGAGATTTAAGTGGAAAATATTATATTTATGTGTTCTTGTAGGAAAAAAACATTGATTGCTTAGTGCGGGAGAGTGATTTTGTGTTATGAAAGAGTTCATTATATATATATATATATATATATATATTATATATATAATGAACTCTTAAGTATAATTACTATTTCATAGTTGTCTATCCTTAAAAACGGACTTCTCCGTCCATCACCATATTCAATTTAGCTTTACTTTATTCAGTTTGTTTGGCTAATATCGTTTTATTCGCACAAGTATGTTAGTCCAAGTTAGTTGTGGAAATTATGGTCTTTCAAGAATATTTTGGACCACTGAGATCGAACGAAAATGTTACTCATTCAACAAAATTTAAGGGCGAATGCTTTTCTTACAAAAAAAGGGCTATGATTATGGTTAGAAAAATAAGGCTTTATAGTGATTTGCTGCTAAGTTAAGCAGATCAAAGGGCATTGTTTGCTTATCATAGGCTCACTGTTCTACTATGCAGGATGAAATCTGGTTTTAAATGATCCGAGTACTGGCATACTCTTGAGTTGCATTTCGTTCAAGAAGTGAAAAAAAAGCGGTACCTATGTTCAGATTATCTTCCTAAGCTGACCTGCACTGAAAGCTGTATAACTGTCGTAGTTATGCATGTGATTCTGATGTCAATAAGAATATATATGATAACTTGTTATCTATGATGAGATTATCTGCAGTGTAATGCATATCTTGTCAGTATTGCTTGGTTTAACGATGCGCAAAATTACTTTCAAAAGCAGCGACATGTGACATATTTTTAATCAAAACATCACAGAAAAAAATCTAGTGACGCGAATTGCGCAAAATGTCTCACCGGTATGCGTCTCGAAAACCTTGGAAGTTTCATAGTATTAAAATTTTAAATCAATCTTTTCTTGCTAGAAAAGAACGGAGTGGCCCAATATCCCCTCTTCCACATAACCCCATTTTTCCCCATTTGGCTTGGACCTCTTGCTATGCACTGACCGTTCTGAGTAAAACCGTGGATGGATAAACCAAGTAAACGTTCAAGTACGTTTTGTCACAACCATGCACTTTATAATACGTATGCCTGAATTTATTTGTTCTCTTGGAGCTGAAGAATGTCATCGGCTGTTTATCGGATACAAAGCTTGAATCACTTGGCGAAAGACACTATCACCTTGAAGGGTCCCAGTCAAACGTTTTGACTCTGTGAGCGGTCTCCTCGCTGCTGGAATGGCTGACATCTCTTGCAGGGACTTATCAAATGCGATGAAACGGTAGTTTCCACTCGACGCTTTCCAGAGAATTGTTTCCTTACTGAAGTTGAGTACAAAGCGTTCTGTACCAAACGAAAGCTAACGCTTGAAATCGCCGTGGGGTCCCTGTTGGGGTCTAAGTTCGACCTTTTTTGGGACCGTTAATCATTAATGAAAATGAGACTAGAACCCGCATCCCCATGGGTGCATCGCCCGGAACTGCAGGGTTCCGGCTTAATTCACCTAAACCTCGAGACTAGCAAGATATTTTTTCTTCCGGTAGCTGCTTGACTGTTCAGAATAGAAATGAGGCGGAAATAAGAAGGTCACCGCCCAGATTACCAAAAAATACAGGCTAAGTTTATTAAGGCGGGCCACTGTGGCTGCAAGCGCTAATACTAATGTCGGTGTTGTTCATGATCCAAGTTGTTGTTAAAGCTGAAGTTAAAAAAGGAACTCGATCATGAAATACTAGTGCTTGTTAAAGAAAACCTGATAAAAAGAGTGGGCAGAATAATGGCGTTAAAGGAGCAAGCGTCCGTGTGCCCCATGAAGCCGCCAGATTCAGGTCCTAAAAGCTTCATGTTAGTTGATTCGTTTGCCATATATACTAGGGTTTCAGACGAGCAAAGCTTCGTGTACCTGCAACGCGTGTTCTTAAAGTAAGCAGCGATAAAATTAAAGTTTACCGAGCTTACCAGGGGTCGACCCCAATGGTTGGGCTCCATAACGCTATGACCACTGCCTACTAATTTACTATCTAGCTTTTTTTTAGTAATTTTTATTACAGACTACTCTTAGACAAGTGGTGTGTGGCACTAGGTCATTTGGCCGGAATCGTATTCGAGTTTCTCACCGTAACAGTCCTAAACAGTCCCAGTGCTAAATTCCTTACCAATCTTATCAATAAAATTTAAACTATTATGCAATAAACCTAACTGGTAGCGCATTTAGTTATATTAGCAAACAGAGCCCGCTTCCGTAATATACACGAAAACCTAGTGTAGAGAGGGGTAAATGCCCTTAGAAAACCGAGAATAGTAATCCAATATTATGTAAGAGCGCAGATAACGTAAATCTCTATAAAAATCAAAGCAACACATTCTTGGTGAGTTAACAGCAATTCGTCTAAGTATTTCCTAAAATCAATATCGTGTTAGTATTGTATTCAATGGGCTGCAGCAATTTGGAACGACAAAACAACACAAATCAACTAAGCAGGGCTGATGATTTATTTATGCATGCCGATTTCGTGTCTAAATAAAGCATTTTCTTTATTTAATCCAACCAGTTGATATAAATTACATATATGGCAAGTCCATCGAAAGTAAAGGACAAATTATATATTGTTTAAAAATGTTGTAGTATTGTTACGTAAGGAGTGGGTATGAAATTTAACTACATTAAATATTACACACATACAAGGTCTGCATCTCTGCAATACTTGCGAAAAATTCTATCATAAGTTGCACTATAGAATTGCGTCATCTTTTTAGTAAATTCGCTACAAAGACTCTGAAATCAATTAACGCTTATGGAAAGAAAACGTTCATTATATTCGGGTGACATAGATATTCATTTAGAGATTACTACAGCTTCATGGATTATTTACGCTATTTCCTTCACCGTTTCTTCATAACCGATTGAAGCGCTAAATGTGGTCGTATACAACATGTGGTCCGCCAATTGTCTGCCAGAAGCCTTGCTCAGATTTTAACAAATTACAGCCTTACCTAAAAGCAGTAAACAGAGCTCTAACTATACCTCACTGTAGCAAAAAATCCGCACCATGAACTCCTTTTTGATTGATCGCTATGCAAATATAAATATTTAATAACATTTGCTAAGGTAATTATAAGCGTGATTAATATATTACTCAAGCTTACTTAGGATATGTCTGTTCTAAATGAAATTTCAAGCTGATATGCATTTTAACTGACAAATAAATTCATCAAACCGAATATTATTCTTCATAAGCATTACTTCCAAACAGCTCGAACTATGTTATATATTGCATTGTGACATGACACTAGTTCTCTCAAGACGTGCTACAGGCAGTTCAAACGTTTGCCAAACTACCTGAAATATTATGTCAATCAAAAGCGTACCTTGGCAAAACTAACATTTCAAATTTTAAGACATCTAGATCCTGAAGTGTAGAAACTTTATGCATGTGTTTCCCAAGATGCGATGAAGTCAGTTATACAAATTCTGGTGATATAAAAAGAAAAATGGCTTATCCGGTCCAGGCGAGCCACATATATTTATTGAGCTCTCTATCTGTATTTCGAACTTCGTTCAATTTGGCGTGACGCCAAATTGATGGTGTCTAACTTGAATCGTACTACTGTATTCTATGATGAATTTAGAGGTTCCAACAGTACGGTTGTATGGAATGTGCTGGCGCTAAATTGTTTCTGTTACTCCTTGTCATCAATACCGTGCGTCTAATTCTGCTAAAAGAACAAAAACACAGATGAACATAATGTATAAAACTAAGTACATGAGGCTCAAAAATAATCACTTTCTTCAAGGTTTGCCTAATAAAGGTAGATCTTTACAAAGACTTATGTAAGATACTAGTGGAATATGGGAAGCTACAATCTTTAAGTCGTAGAACTTTCTCTTGAGTACATACAACTATAAATATATAAGATTATTATTAGGATATTGGAAGTTCAAAACATTACCATGATATTGCCTGGTTCATACTCAGCTCTTCGCTGCAAATTATTTTTTGCTAATGAAACATTTCGCAGACGAAACAGGAATAATAATAATACATGAACGGAATCGACATTATCATATTATATGCATATAATACCAACAAGCGAATTATATAAACTAGAAACTTTTGAATATACGTTAATGAAGTTGTTTAATTATATCTAGCTTCTAAAAAAAATCAATTATACAGAGTAATCTAGTTCACCACAAAGAGCTAAGCAATATGTTGCATATGATATTTGGTGACAATATATCATTGAATTTTATTTTAAAAACGATATTGTAAGTATTTCTTATACTGTAACGACGTGTCTATTTTGTAATCATACATTTTCTAACATCTTCAAGTTCTTTGATGCAGCTTGTAACGTAGCTTTAAGCTAGCACTGGTAAAGAGACTTCGGATAGTTTGGTAACCGAGTTCCACCGTTAGCTTCGACTAAGGGGTAGAATAATGATACTTTAATACGATGATGGAAAAATGCTTATACATTATATTAAGTAAATCTCAAAACCGATAAAGTATCGTTAACAGAAATGCATATATCAGAAAATGCTAGAAACTATCAAAAGCTGCATCGAGAAAAATATCACTCCGGTTGCCGCGGGGCTAAAGACTGGCTGAACTAGCAGAATTTTTGAAGGCAACGCGATGCAAGAACGGGAATCACTTACATATGCCATATAACAGGAATGATTGCAATATACTATAGCTAGATAAGACTCAGCATTGCTTCTAGCAGATTCATGCAATGTTAGTGGCAGGTCCAATGATCACACTTTGCAAAAGAAAAAATCTCATAAATATATACGATGTTTGTCAGCATTCAGCGCCCTCATGCGGTGTCATTCTTTTCTGAACGAAGAATTGCGTTTACATTCGACCGATTGACCCACAATTGTCCGAGCGAAGGGGCCCAAGAAGAAGAGGGTCGCTTTAGCAGAAATGTGTCTGGATTGTAGTGGCTGTAGACTGTGAAAAGACCAATAGCAGATTGTGCCGCAGGACACAATATGCTATTGGTTTTTTTCTGAATGAACTGCAAACAGTACGTTGCATTTTGTTGCATTCGAATTTGTTTCGATTTTAAAGTTCATTAATATGAAAGTGGAAAGTCTATGACGATACGTTCCTCCTTTTACTTTCAGGTTAGTTTATTATGATATTATTACAATTTAAATGTAGATCAAAGTAGTAAACTCAATCTGATATCCTTCATGCTACGCATATAGTAAAGTGACGTCCTCAGAATTAGTGCGTGCTTCTAGCTAAGTGACCATTGGAAACTTAGGATTTTTAATGCTAATATGCTTGTTTTGAATTACACAGAAAAAATTGAAGTCAAAGAAGCGCTTGAATTGAGACTATTAAAATTAATCACAGTTGAATTGACTTGAAAACCTATGCATGTCATCTGCAATGCATCACAAAGAATATATCGCACGTACATTGGGGTAGGGGCTCAGAAAACAAGAAATAAAGCTTCAACCGTAAAAGAGAACTGCGTGAAGTACACATGAGTTAAGGGAGCAATACATTTAATAGTTTGAAGCAACGTACTTCAACACTAAACCTATTACCGGCGGTCAGTGACGGCTGACGAATTTGTTTTTAAGTTTACGTATTTAAACTATCGAGCTTAACGTCATTGGTATGTTATCAAATTTAATTATAAAGATAGTAACTCATTATGATCGAGCAAAGAAGATATTAAAGAAGTCTTGATAGGTTCAGTGTTAATTGTAGTTTCCTATCGCGCCAAATTTTTTTCCACAAATGCAAATGCAACCGTAAGGATGACATGCTCGACATATATCTCTTAGGATAATGACAAGAGGTAAACATTCGCTTGATCTTCTATCCTCTATTGTAACAAAAATGTACAGTACATATTTTACTGTGCATTTTTGTTAATGTACAGTAAAATATATCTCTATGGCTGCGAACAGGGCTTTATGTATTCACCACTGTTAACCTTTCAGTTGTCTTCTGCCTGACATGTATTCAATCGTCCAGGTTTATTAGTTAAGATATAGTAAATTGTACAACTCTATTAATTATTAAAGTGTTTCAGCATCTATCCTGTCGTAATATTGACAGCCATCTGGTATTACCATCCGTCCATTTTAAATAGGAGGTGTTTAGTTAAAACAGAGAAACACAATTGTGCAAGAATATACATGCGCACATTTAGTATTACTTATTAATTTTTTTGAAGTACATCCGTCACAGATTTTACCTTGGTCGTCTGATTATCAACATAGCTTCAAAATAGCACGTTGGAATCAGGAATGAGCTGCTTCGGGTGATAACTGTTTAGATATTCCTTTCTTCGTAGATGTTCAACGGCTTTTGTTACTGGGATGAGCTAGGCGGAGCATTTGTGTGTGTTAATAGCGGACTAATTTCCATTCAGCCTATTCAGTATCTGTAATACTGCATTATTCCATTATTAATTCAGAAAGTTTCAAAACCCTGTCATCAACACTGTGTGAGAAGCATAGTAGTCACACAAGTATGAAGACTGCTTGTGTACGTTTCAACCTATAAGTGCTAGATCTCGTATGATGCACACTTTGCAAACGATTGCCCGACATAAGCACGTGATTGTGTCAAAATAAAGAATAAACTAAACACGGCTATAATTATCCAACAACTGCAAAATTTTAATCCATTCGGTTGCTGAAACGGAGAAGCAATCGGTCTAATACTAGGATCATGTTTTGATTCTTTTTATTGTTTCCTGTAATAGGAGATTAATCCAAAGACCTTTTCTTGAACCACCGTATTAAAGGAGGCACTGGCCATGCGAGCGTGATTGTGTCCGTGGTTCAATTATCAGTTGACGCTTAGTTATTACTTCACATAAATTAAATGTTCTGACCATTTCAAGCAAAATGCTTGTTCTCTGATAACACATAATTCAAGATAGATATGTGATATTTTAGATCTTTGTTACTGTGCATGTTATTAAAAAGGCTTTCACCTTTAAAAACCATAGCATATTAGTTATTGTAGGTAAGATATTCCTTATGTGATGGTAGTGTTATGCTTCTTGCATCATCTAAGGGGGATTTATTAACGTTGAGCAGTTGCATTCTTTAATACTACAGGGTTATTTGATGTATTATTCTTTTTATTTAGCATCTACGATAAGAAGACAGTTGAGCTGCGGCCGCAGCTCTCGTAACTGTTATTTAGCAAAAATGTGTGATAAATAGAATGACCATTATACGCAGTGCTGTCCGTTTTTACTATAGAATGGTATCAGTGTTCTTGACCGTTGAGCGATTTGTTAGCGGAGACATTGCCGGCCTTGGCCAACAAGTCAGGAGGCCGTGGTAAGTTCAAGATCGCTGTGTACAAAATGATAACATCGTAAACATAGCGCGTCCCACCTTCCCCTAGCTTCAGTTTACAGCCATTCCTTTAGGCAACGACTTCCCGCATGACTTCCGTCATTCGGACACAGAGGACTAAGCCAAACAATGACAGTGGATATCCACTGCATAAAAGAGAAAGCGTGAATTGTAGACGAGTCTGATAATTTGATTATTCTGGCAAAGGCGCTCACTGATGTCGACATACGATGACACTTTTTTTGAACCACGTTTATTACTGCCTTAACTAAAGGCATAATTCCCGAGGAAGCCAGAAAGTCTGCACTTACTTTACACGCGTCCCGTACCAGATTTTAAAACTTTTCTTTTCTACCTCTATGAACCCAATAAGATATATTTAAAAAAAGCGAATATCATTATCAGCCACTTTATTCTAACTTCAGTAGCGTAAAATGTTGCTTAGAATGTTTGGTCACTTGCGACTTAATTTAAATAAATATTGTGGGCGACATAAGCTACATGACAATTGAGATTATATAAAGAAACAAATAAGATATTGCGGACAATTTTATACAGCTGGTAATTTTTGGCAGCATCTTTGTGTAGTTCAGTTTGTAATCAATCATACACTCACACTACTATTTTTTTTTAGTATATTATTAATTTTTCTAAAAGAGCGTCAAACGTACATCTATCTTCTTTGCACCTGATAGATTAAAAAAACTAGTCTAGTCATAAACTAAAAACTAGTCATAGCTCCATCTGCCGTGCATACAACGCAATGAAATGTAGATACGAATTAAGAAGCCCATTCAACCTCTCGTCAAGTCGTACGAAGTATGAGGCGGTCCTTAAATGATACTTTTGAAATGATACTTTTTTGATACAGAATTTTGAGTATAAGCATATCCAGTTGTTCCTTTTCTTATATTTTCCAAATTATATAATTTAAGGAAAAAGAAGAGTTTTTGTTTATGATAAACAACAAAATCCTTAAGCTTCTTCAATATCACTTTTGGTCGGCCTATTTAAAATAGTGTCATAAATAATGTATTTACATAAATATCATATAAAATGTTTGTGATTTCATCCTAAGTTGAGTAACAAGTCCTTGTATACGGCGGACTACCATTTTTAGCTGAGTTACGTAACATAAATTATGGGGGATTGGTTCCGATCCTTGAATAAATTATTTAAAACTACAAGTAAATAAATAAACAAAAAAAAAACTGTCTCGAAGTAAAAAGGTCATTTAGATTACAACCTTATTTATCAAGTTAGTAATCATCACATAACGCTAACAACCTTTATAAAAGAAAGGTCAGCACTGTAGCCGAAAGAATATTTCTGTATGTCCAGAGATTTTTTCAACACCAGAGGCACTATTTTTCAGCTTATTTCTAGCCTATTCCGTCTTTTTAGAAGCCCTTAAGCGGCAAACTAGTAGGAATGTATATAGCGTCTTCTAAAGAAGTTACATAGCGGTAACAACAGGAGAATCAAAGGAAATCCACTTTGTCTAAGAATAGATTTGCTTTCGCCAAGTAAGAGACATCACGACTGAATAATGAAAAGTTACATTGATTAATGGCAAAAAACTAGTTTCGACGGGCCAAATGGCTACAGACTACGTAATTATACGTTATTTTTTTAGAAGCCTTTAAGGTCTGTTGAGTATTAGTAAGGCTTATTGTAATTTCCAATCATACTCATGCAAAACCGTATCGCCTTAGACAACTACACAAACTTAAGAGCTGCCTAACAGCCCAGTTTAGGTGGCTCTAGCCGTACATCCTGATGCAATGCTAGTCCAAACATAACGTCATCCAAATAAAAAAAAGTAGGTCCGAAGTGCTTAAATTTCTGTTCTTGACAAGCTAGCGTAGTTTTGCCAAGAACGAATAGGGAAAGATTTGGTTAAACCTATAAACTCAAGCGTTCATAGAACTTAAACCAATATTGCCTATTGAAGAAAAATTTATGAAAATGACGACATACATTTTCTTTGATAGCATACCGAATAGGCTATTCTATGCGGTTTGTATTAATGGGAAACGAGGACGCGTATGGAAAATTAATTACGGCTTAATTAGAATGTAGTGCACCAGGAAGCGCATTTTCTCTGTGTCGTTGTATCATCTTGAACACTTAGAGTCGAATTGTTTTAAGCAAACAGATTGGATGACATCGGATGAACTCTAATAGGCCGAATATATACAATCGAGATCCAACAGCACCACTCATAACCCAACAGTGTTTTTATAATGTGAAAATGTATGTAAAGAATATATTATCATGTTAATGTTATATAAATAGAAAGAACTGCTGAAATTATAATATTGACATAACGTATGACAGTATTTGACAGAAATTTGAAAGGAATTTGTAAATAACATTTACTGAGCGATTGCAAGTCTCAGATATCATAGCATATGACAAATCGTCGTCAACTCCTGAAGACAGTTACTGAAAATCTATTGACGAATGAAAAATTATTATTGCACCCTACTGTATTTCTATCGTCCGATGTTGAATTTTAGTTCTCACGATTTATGTGTCTCCAAAGAGCCCTCTCGTAATTTTTATTATATACGGAATAGAAGTATAGGACGAAAACCATTTTTTTGTTCTAGGCCATGTGTTTACCATTCGGGTGAGTTATTATTAAAATTAAGAAATGGTACATTAATTACTATTCGATAATAGCCCCATTTTCTATAAGCTGTAACTTAATAAGTGCGTCAATAACTTAAGCGCACCTATCTATTTATTGACCAAAAGATAAAACTTCTGTCACGCATTCTGGGATGCACCTTAATTGTCTATCCTAGCTTGAACAAATTCAACAATAGGGCTTGATGGTTGGAGTGTTTTCCAGCTGCAAAACTTTCAAATTGGAAGACTTTAATCAGTATATAGCAACGTATTATTATTAAAAAAAAATTGGCATATTATGACTTTAATGAAACCTTCGATCTGGCTACGGGAGCAGTACCACGACTATTGAAGCACTCTTTCCTTTTCCTTAACTAACAGATTTATTCCTTATAGTAGGCAGTTCCTACTCTGGAATATGTCGGCAACTTATGGCTCACATACAATGTAAAAAAAACACACACTTGACTTTCTCCTAATTTATAAAGACTACTCTACGCGAAGTTCGCTTAAGCTTGTTCTCCATTTTTTCAGATCACTTGTGTAAAACCTAAAAGTTACTGTACATTTATTTTTTTATTTTAAATCATGTTGTAGCTACATTACTTGATTGTTATATTGATATGCAGAATGAAACATGTCAGAAATATGCAGTCTGAATCGGGTCCGATGATTATACAGAAAATATTTTATATTATTGTTTTGGCAATAGCAAAGCAAATTTATTTTTAACCTGCATAAACCGCTCAAATGCATTACCCTTAATTGTTTGCAAAAATGTAGCCACCTCAATTTTTGTGTGGTCCCAAATTCTGAGGATTCTACTTTCAGGGTCAAAGAATGTTTGTATTTGCGATATTATCAAATATGAGCGAATAATTATCCATGAAAAAGAAGCTTACTATCAACGAGTTATAAATATATTTCCCCACATTTCAAACGCCGTTTGCTATGTAACCTATAAAAATATATTTCTGAAATATGATCTGAAGAGAGAACAAGAAACTGAAGCCATGAAACTCATTGATATTGAACTTTTGGAGCGATACCCCCGTCTTTGAATGACCATTTTCCTAGCCAACGGCATGAAGACCAATGAAGTAATGGATGAGATACCAACATAGTGTTAAACATTTGACTACAATGACAAGTGATTATATTTATCGTGTCTCATTCTTTAACTATTTTGTGAAATAAAATCACTTCTTTCCGCGACATGCCTATTTTGTCTTGAAGCTAACTCATTTATGACATGTCAAATTTTACTTATAAAGGAAGGAATCTTATAGATCATAAAGATACAAAATAATTTGACAGCCCTATTTGTTGAAATTTCTGCAGTTTCACTCTATTTTGCGATGAAAACTGAGATCTAAACATCGATTGTTAAAGTCTAATCAACTACTGTAATAATTTTTTGATTTACTTTCGAATAATACAAGACACATTTGTATTATCTTTTAAAACTTGTGAAAAGCTCACAAGAAGACATAGACAAACTAGAGTGTGTACAGTTAAATCGTATATCTCGATCTTAACAATTGATATTCCTCTTATCCTTTTTAGTTTGTTTAAATCTAAAATCTACGATTATATCTGTATCAAAATGTACTTTACACCTCATTTCCTGCTGCAGAATATTTCATATTTGAATCGATACTGAGCACCTTGTATAGTAGACACCAAATAGCAGCCTTATCAAAAGTATTTTGATGAAGAGCGTTATTTCGATTCAGTTGTTTTAAATATAAAATAATGACATGCTAAAAATTTTCAGTTAATTTATTTTCCAATAACTTAGTTAAAGCATATTAATATTTTTGATGATTACCATGATGTACCAAAAACCGTAGGACGATACCAATCTTTATGATGGCACATAATCAAAAAATTAGTACAATTGAGATGATCACTGTACGGTAATGCAGACAAAGATGTAGTTTAAGAGCACTGTACTGTGCTGCTTTGTACGTGCCGGTTACGTGTACCTGACCATCACAATGAATGCAAGTCTCACTGTGGGTTCTTAAATCGCACGCAAGTGATTACTTTCTTGTACTAAAGGACATTCTGCAAAAATATTATGCATCAAAGATAAAAGCGGGCAAGATGCAGTCATAAGGCTTAGTGTCTTTTTGTCCTTCAGTTGATCCGTGCCATTTCGTGAGAGCAGCGGTAAAAATGAGATCTATGTTGCATTACACAGCAGCATTGGTAATCGTCGCTGAATACCTTGTGCATGTCGGTGTACTGGAAGCTGTTGTGGAAGACCGTTTCTTACCGCATTTTATCGGCTCGGATGATACACCTACGGTAGCGTCAGTTTTCGCCTGTAAGTAAAATTATCGAATTGTATCTGTGTGCAACATTTTCTATACACATTCTACATATATTCGCCAAAAGCATTTGCTTTTTTGAGAATTGTACCCGTTTTGTTCCTTCAAAATGCAAAAGATGGACTTGATGTTTCAATTAATATTTTCTGTTAGCTTTAACAATTATTATATGCGTCAAATTTTGATCCATAATTTGTTTGGAATATTTGGAATTGGTTTGCAAATAAATTTTTATTGGCTGGTAGATCTTTGGCTAACGGTTTGAGGTCTACCTGAGCTAACAAGGTAGTAGTTTTAAATATTAATATTAGCTGACTATGAAATCTTTAATCAAGCGTTTAAGCATAAATTCGAGTGCTTATACTACCTATATATAGCTACATGAGCACCAAACAAGATAATTAACAAAAAAACTTAGAATTAGCTACATTTAAAAACCTTCATCCGATAAATATCCAGAAGTAATGGGTCTTGGAAAAATTTTTGAACGAGTGGTTTTAAAGGGTGAACGTTTGCATTATATGACTGCTATGTGACTCCACGTCGCCGATGACGTTGTGATTTTTAATAAAACTGCCAATATCATTCGATGTGTTCTTATTATTGTTCCAATGAAAAACAGCGAGCACTTGAACTCATGGATAAGTAAATAAAATAACTTAAGTGGAATATATCCTATCTATTTATTTACGTATGATCGTAAGATACGAGTATCTCAGCTCCAGCATCAGAGGCGGTTGTAATACACTGTAGTTTTATGCTAATACCATTAGTAAAAAAGTACAATTGACAATGTTGAACAACCAGACAGCCAAAAGAACGCAAATTAGTTTAAAATTTTCTTTTGAGCTCCTTGCATTTATTATACCAACCTTGAAAATCATAAAATGAACACTTTTCGATAATACAGCAAATAGGTTTCATAAATGTTTAGAAAAGTTAGCAGCACGCTAACTTTTAAAATTATAACTTAGCTCTGTTGTATGGAATCATTTGAGTTGTAAATGGGTGCAATAAGTATAGGTGAACATGGGACGTACTGTTCGCTTAGTCTACACATTTTGGAAACTTGTGGCTTCCTTAATATATAATACTTAGAGGAAAAAGTTATATTTGAATGTACACCATTATTTATTTAACATAATGAAGTACATAGATAGTCTCTTAACCACAAGGATTCAGGAGCGATTAGCTTATTTATTAATTTTGAAATTGAATATGATAAAATAAGGTGTCTTTCATCGCGTTATTCGATTTCTGTGTTGTACGTGTTGTTAAAGGTCGCGATTTAATGTTACGCACAATCCAATCGAGCATCTCAACATGGCCCTAAATGCGTACATAAAAATCAAGAGCTCATTGAAGGTGCTATTCTAACGATGTTCCTCGCCAAACCTAATCATTACTTCAAACATCAGTAGGCGTGATTAAATTTCGTCTTAAACATTCAAAAAGTGTAGAATTAGCTTCTAAAGCTTAGCAGAAAAATAATAAACTGAGAGAATGGTTTCAATTTTCCCTATGTCTTCATCATTTTCTATTTAGCAAACTTAACACCACCGGCAACCGCTTCTGGTGCTGCAGTAGACTATAGCCCTATTGTAATCAGCCAGGGATCACCTGGTAAAAAGATTCAAGTTACTATCACCAATGAGGTTTCTGGACACCAGATGCTTAACCACAATGCTGCGGTTCAAATTGGTGTAACGCCTAATCGAATTCCTCTGGGTCGTAATCGCTTTGAAGGGAAGCCCGCAGCTCCTTTACCAGCCCAACTTCACCTTAGCAACGCTCCGGCCCTTCTAGTGGATAACGAAACTGTAGCTGGTCTTCTTCAACAGATTTTGGCTGGAAACCTACAAAGTGTCGAAAGTCGCGGTCGACCTTTGGCAGTACCTTCCGGTGGTAAGTTGCGGATTCATATGTTGCACATTTTTAGAATGACAGCTGGTTTATTTAATACAAACAAAGGAAATGGTTCAACCACTGACAACTCTTATTATAGCGTGTATATATTCTGAAGCGTTTGATTTTTCAACGTAGTCTACACATAGTTTCCCACACAGCACAAAATAAGTGTTCTCCAAAAATGGCCTCCACACCCCATGAAAATCTCAGTCCTCCAAGCGAAACTTGAGGTTTATGAAATGAGTCGCTAGGGGCTGGATCTGGTTAATACTATAGGTGGTTCACTGACTCGAACATCAATTTGTAAATTTTTGTCATGGCAACTGAAATATACGAGTTTGCCCATTTTCACAGAAAGATTAACATTGGTTTGCGCAAATGATTAATAAACAACAGCTGAGCATCCAATATAACCGAAATTTTAATTAGTATTCTTCAATATATATAATATATACGCATTTATAATACCATAATAGTTTTAACAAATAACAAGTAACTCATTTTCATATATTATTTGTCAAAGGTCAGGTTATATTTCATTATTAGTTTAAACGATGGAAAAATAAAAGAAATGAATGTGACAAATAAAAATTCATAATTCTACTACAGTATCTCTAAGATAGTTGAGAATTAATATCTTGTTATAGTCATTCATTTTAAAATAACTTGGAAGTATTGTTTGTTATATCGCTGAGTTACTGATAATATTTTCTCAAAAACAATCAAAAACTTATGTAGCCATCATTAAGTTCCACACAATCATTTTTACAAAATTGTTAGTGGGTTTAAATAGTCTAGCCAAAAGCCACCTTCACTGCCTTTGTGGCTTATTGTATATGATTACTATTGATTCATGCATACCTAATTCCTTTTGACAGGCAAACCGGTGGCTGTCATCTTCTCATCGTCCGTGCATGTTGTTGATCTGGGCGATCTTCGGCCTCCCATAACCCCTGCATCGACAACAATTAGCCCTCATACACATACTCCTCATGTTCCTCATAATGATAGTGCTCACATTCACACGCACGGAACCCAATTCGGGTCAAATCACACGCACGGAACCCATTTCGGCTTAAATCACACATCACTGCTTGAGTCTATCATATCGCCGCTAATGTCATTGACCCATTTCGGGACATCGCGCGAATCTCATCCGTCACAATCGCCGCACCCTACCTCAACAGTGGCAGGGACTCCAGTAAGTGTACGCTGACGAACGATTTGGTTACTAAGCTTTTTATTGCACACTACTTCTTTTGATTCTCGCTTTACATAACTTTCATATACACACTTACGCACATAATGTAAATCGATATTTATCCAAGTTCCTATCAATATCTCTTACGTGAAGTGTTATTACGACACAAGTGTATTCGTCGTATTCATATCTGGTTCGTATCAAAGTACATTGACTAACTCACTGTATATTCTTAGGAGTGATGTAGGGTGATCAGGAACTGTTCTTAACATATTTGTAGATTAAAGCGCAATGATAAAAAGTATAAACAGTAAAAACTGCTTAGAAGTAGTATATGGGTAAAGCAAAAAACTGGATTTTTATTAAAAATTGGATCCAATCGATCGCCCATCTGGTAACAAGTAGATTTGATTGTATATTTTGATTTAAAAAAGGTAATAAAAATAGAACTGTTTTTAATAAACATTTAATTAAACCTATAAGACTAATTTTGACTTCCTACTATCTAAATTATTATTTTTCTCTTCGAATAAGACCACTTTAACTTATTATAGGCAATATTGCTCAGCCTTCAGAAATAACCTAACTGAATCGTATGCCCGTTTATTTAACGTAGGAGGAAAACATGCAAAAATACTATTTTAATTACTTAATTTTCATAAAAACAATTTTCTTTTTACATTTCATTTTACGTAAACAAGATATATTACAGTCGGATTTCTTTTAATTTTTTCGTCCATTGTCTTTATTGGTCTAGGCTTGGTCGGTACAGCAGGTTCTTCAACCGGTTCAAATGCAGCCGGTAATGATGATGATGATGCCCATTTCACAAATGCAGGCGATGTCTGCAATATCCTCGACGTCGGCACATGCTTTGGCACCGGTTCAAACAGACAGCTTGTCACACTTAGATAAAGTTTTGCAAGGCATCCTAACCGCCAAAAAACAACAACTAATCAACTCTACGTTACTAACAGGGCACGGATCTCATTCAGGGCATGAAGCACAGGTATCGGGAACTGGAACTTACTCGTCGATGGCTACCACTTCCTCATCGGTACAAACACCTGTTAATGCATTCACTTCGATACCCACCTCAACATTTGTGACTACTATGCAACCGCAAGAGGTCAAAAGCATGGACAATAGTACTTCGAGGAGCAAACAGGTCTGAGTCCTCTCGTTCGCATGAGGATCACACCTGAGCGTTTTTGTGCGCGTTACCCATGTGGATATTGACATACATAAATGATTTATGAATTTGTACATGAAAACGCCAGTATTTGCGGTCATTCAACTTGTGTAGTAAAACGAAGTAGTTATAATACATGGTGTGACTAGACAAAAATCTTTTATTTGCAGCAGCGATGTTTTAAAGAAGAGACATCTTGCCCCATAAAAATCTGTCGTTTTGTAACTATTCTATAAATTACTCAATAAAACTTAGTTTAACCGAAATGAAGCAAATATCCTTATTGTATCAATTATACTAGAAATCAAGCGTTTTTTTGCATTGAAACTTTATTAAAAACTTTAACTCTAAGGAGAAGTAAAAGAGTAAACTAAGTTTATCAATCTGCAATTTAACTTTGCCTATACGTACAATTTTTGGAGTATGGACAATGAGACTATAACGCGCTTTATTCTGGTCCCGTACACATTTAACATATGTTATGTCACAAATATTATAGGTGCAGACGCAGAAGAATTACAAGGGATGAGGATTCTAACGAATAGAAAATTGAGTTATACAATTTGTTGTTTCTGGATCCTTTTATGTGTGTTATACATTGTTTATTCTCTTACATTGGTTATTATCACACCGAGTACGGAAAATAGGTTATCTACTGCAAATTTGCCACCACAATAATTAGGACGTATCTTTAAAAAAGCGAAGAAAATACAACGGTTATAAAAACGAGAATCCGCGTGGAGATAGGGTTGTAAGTTTTTTCTGACGTTTCTATGATTGCGTCTAAATATTATAACTGATGAGTATATGTAACTAGGGGGTGACTACTATAAACGTATTTGCAGGTTTCTTTTAGTAATTTGCACTCATTATTTCGATATAAAAATTGAAGCGAAGAATAGTAAATCATGCAGCAGTGAGATATTATATGAGAGTGCAAAGCATTTCATTTAAATTTAACCGAAAGCACGCTCAACGATCTGATATAAAGGCCTAGATATTAATATACCTACACTGAAATATCCTACCATAAATTGTGTGCGCCTCGTTGTTCTAAGTAGTGCTTTTCTCATTTTATTAAATTTGTTTGATGTTTCTTACTTTGTCTTCCTTAAAGTCCCCTACGGCTTCAGCAACATACATGATGTTTAAAGGTTGGCACGCTATAGAGATTACGGGCCGCACTGTAAGTAGCCAAAAATTACATTACTGTATCGAAGATAGGGTAGCTTAAGACGGGCGTTTTTCCCGCAATATCGCAACTGTATTTCTTCCTAGATGCAATAACGAAAAGGTAAATGTATCTAATGTCAAAATTTAGGAATTAGAACAAAATTTTTATGCTTCTCGATGCTAAGGCGCAAAATGCTTTTCTACAATTATCTTAGATCTGAACACAACCACATAAAAAACAATGTCTTAACTAAACTTCAGTTACACGTTTCGTGTTAACTTTGTAAACCAAATCAAAAAATAGCTTAACTTTTTCTTTGTCAATCGCCGATCGATACTCCTTAATAGGGTTCCTTATAAAATGCTAACTTGTTTTATAAAGCCAGTCTTGTTCTAAAACACTTTGCGAATGAAAAGAAATGCGAAATTAGTTCGCGTATGTGAAGTGTTTTACGTGACTATGCGCTTAGCAATGCACATGGTCACATAAATATGTTGCTAGTAATTGAAATCACTTAAAATAATATCAAAAGTCAATATTCAGAGTTATTTTCTCAATTATAATATATATACTAATGTAAATATAGATCAAAATAAATACTGTATAACTTTGTATTTGCGTATTAAACGAACAGCTTGCCCCCGTTGAAAACATTGCAGTATTCGTATAGTGACAATACTCGCCTTAGTGCTATAAGGCACTTTATTCGAAAAATCCAACGTCTTGCGGAAACGACGGTTTATTAGGTCTGGATTGTTACCTGGAGATTGCTAATTACAACATAAAAGCGCGCAGCTTTCCAGAGAATACTTTTGTTGACCCAAAATCGATGTAAGTCATTCATTAGACGGAATAAATTGTTCCATGGACGTCGATCTAATTCTCTAATGATCTGCATACTTTTCCTTGGTCATTTGTTTTTATATATTATTATTATTATTATTATTATTATATAATAATTAACGATATTATTAAGAATAATAAATACCCCTGAAAATTATACCACGACGATTTTGACGTAAGCGGTGTGTCATTGCAAAGTTGGGCTGAGTCCAACTGCACGAAGATACTACAGTAAAAAAGTGTGCAGTCGGCAGAAGCATTTGAATGATACCGATACCTGGTAAGATGTAGTACCTGCAGAGATATCTAGAAACCAGTGAAAGCTTTAAGTGCAATGTCGGTTAAAAATAAATCCAATCATGGGAAGTATCACGTTGTTGCGTCCGATAAAATGAGCAGCAAATCAAAACTACTCTAATTGTGATTTACTGACAAATTTATCATCGCGTTTATTATTATATTATTAATGCTCTTGTTTATTTGGCCAAAGAAATTCCAGTTGGCTGCTTATATTTCTTTCCATTTACTTATACTGGTTTCCGGGTAATCAAGCGTTAAATAATACTCCAAAATAGGTTATCTCATTTATAAACCCTTCATGAATGCGTACTGGAAAATTTCACTTAGAAGTTACCTTCGAATCTAACAAAGGTATTTCGGGTGACCCTATACTCTAACTATAGCGTCATTGCCATAAGTGACGCCACTATTTCAAGGACACCTTAACAGCATTGCGGCCTCGGTGGAGACCGCAATATATAATGTCTTAAAAAACTTGCTTTTTACCACTTGGAACATCCATGGGTGAAGCTTAGGTGTAAAATAAAATTCCATTTCGCGCAAAACATAATAGGAACAATTTTTTAATTGAAAGAAAGGGTTCTTGAATCATCACCTATTTAAGCGCAAATGTATATTAATGGAACAAAAAAAATAGAGGAAAAAGGAGTTTGAAGACCTAAAATTACTGTTGAAGTTATGCCATATTTCACATTGTTATCAAACAAGCAGTTTTAGCACAGAATGTAAACCAAAAGCTAAATAGCCCTCGCAAGTATGGTCAACCTAAGTAATTATATAGATGACGTAAATTCTGTTTTTAAGTGTCTATCATGACCAACTCTGGATTGCTTTTGGTGCTAAAATAGATAAAATTAACCTCTCGTTTAGTTCTGCCTTTTTATGACCCAACATTTTTTGTATTATCGATGGATATATAGATTCGATTAACCTCTTAATTTGAAGAGGTCGAAAGTTTAGCATATTTTCTTTTTTTTTAGTAAAATATTTTTTTAATATTTAATTTTTAAATATTACTTTAAATATTTTAAAAAAAATATTTAAAAAATACAATTCTGTTAGGTGCTTTCCAAAAGTTATTTCGCGAAATGCATAACACTAGCAGCGGCACTGAGAAAGTACCGGTCTGCATGCGCCGCGAGTATAGTTCACTAGTACATGGCACAATTATGCCGCATCACGTAACATTGAATTACTGTTAAGTTCAAAATTGACCCATATTGTGTGTTCTCTTTACTACATTCGCCAGCTAAACCTTTCTCGAGAAAACAGAGGCAAGCGACCCTAAAATTTTTGATACTTTTAGCTTTAAATGATCGCTTTTTGGCATTAAAAAGCACAGATATCTTGTTCTCTAGTTAATTTAGAAACTCCGAGTTGAAAGTTGAAAAAAAATTTCACACCATAATGCTCACAATATGTAACAACTACCTTTGTACCATCAAATTTAATTAGATCTGCGGAACCCCAGGTACTTTATTTTTATACAGCTAGACATAAAACGCTCGATGAGTATTTCGAGAGATACAGAAAGACAGATGATCACCCTCCGAATAGATATTCTTGCGCTAAAAGAAAGCAAACTGCAGTTTGATAGTCATTGATTGCTCATATTCAGCTGTAGAGAGCAGTGTTTTAATACAGACTGAAATCATGTCATGCGAAATATATCGTAAACATGACATACAAAATATTATAATATCGATTCTGATAATATATATAACCACTAGCACTAGGGTGAATCATAGGAGAGTTCTACTAAGTGTTCGTATTAAGTTTTTTAATTTTGAAAATGAAAAATCAAGAGTTTTATTAACCGTTTTTAAACTGTTTTATGTACCCCTTAAAGAGCACTGTTTGAATAATTAAATGCCATTAATTAATTTCTTATTTTGCAAGGAAATTCACACTCGGAAAAACTGGGTTCTACACTATAGATTACCAATTGATTAAAATTTTTGAAGGTGAACCCCACAAGCCCGAACATGAAACCATAAACCTTAAATACGCTTAAATGAGATGCCAAGGAATAATTAATACATGTAGCTTAAATTAAAATTACTTTATGCATACACTACAATATTTTATTTTGCCATAGCGATGCACCGGATATTTCTCGAAAACTTTATAATAGGTTCGCCGACGAACACAGTCTATCGTAGCCTCATCGAAAAGCAGTTTGCTTTTAGATGAAGCCGAAATTATTTTAGCGTAACCAGGCGGAAGAAAGCAATTGATTACCAAGACGTTTGCCATCCCACATACGCGTATGCACTTCGCATTACGGTAGTTAATAATCACTACTAAAAGGCAATGACGTACTCCTTTTCTAATCGCAAGTTCAGAAAGGCAGACAATAGTAAGGAGGGCGAAAGTTGAACTATGTCTAAGACCAAAGTAGATAACATTAGAGCGAGTACATCGGCAACTTCATTGCGGTTTAAAGCAATATGGCCCGAAACCTACATCATGAAAACCTACAGTATATAGGTTCCGGCAGGTGAAGAACGGAAAAGGCAATGCTGGCGTGCTTATTTGCCTTGAAATTTCAAACTGATGGTTAATTAATCAAAACACTGAGACATTTTTTCTCTTCAGAATTTGAAAGTCCCGCATTGTTTAAATGAATAGAAAGAAAAATATATTTGCATGTTAAATATTTTTTCCTCATTTCCATGTTAGTTATACGTTGGTACTGCCCTTAACAACGTATATTAGATTTATGCTCCATGTGACCGTATTTGTCCTTGGCTACTTTTTTAACGCTCATTTATACGCTCCCTAGACTAGTCTAGTATAAATACATGATAGAAGTATACTTCTTCAACAGGAGAACACTTTGAATCCAATCAGGATTGATTTATTTAATACTGAATCAGTATTAAATATTGCACAAAAACTTTCTTTCCTCACTGAGAGTTTAGACATATCTGTTAAGGTTAGTAAGTTGTACCACTTAACTTTTTTTCGAGTCGTAAGTCGTAAAAAAATTTTGTTTTTTTTAAGCAGTTTGAAGTAACCTACTATTTGGACCACGGAAATATTTAATCATCTTTGAGCTTTAGGAAGTTATAACATACCCTTTTCTCCATTCCCTAGGGTATTATATGAAGCTGAGATGTAAGCAGTTTCTTAAACTGGCTGCCAGATAATATCTCAACAAGTGCTCGAAAATGCGAACGTTTTTAATAACTCATGCAGAAGACCAACAAAGGTGGAATATGGTTCCAAACCAAACATAGGGGCCATTTTCTAAACTAACTTCGCTATCTATTTGAGAGACGTCAGCGTGTTTGTAAGTAATGTAACAATTTATAAACACCCATGTACCTAATATCTAATGGGTGATAATATACTTACTGCGCCACAAATAGTACAAAGGAAAAGATTTCAGAATCAGCGACTGCTTTAGCACAGGCACAGCTTACTTTTTTGCAAGACTGGGTGCTTGGTAACATTGTATAGCACCGACTAGCAAGATACGAAAAGATCCCTTTATCTAGAAGATTGACCAATCGCTTGTCTATAAAATCTTCATAAGCGTTTTTGAGAGATTCTAACATGCATTGTATTCCTACAAAAGAAATCTCAACTGGATAGGCCTTGTAATCAAACAACAGTACTTCTTGAATAGTTGTACGACTACCCAAATGTCGCCATCTGTCATATCTAAATTTTTTGTTATTCTTAGCTGGCAGATGTTACGTAAATTGTCGAACGAGAAAACTAGTTTGCAAAGCTGGAGATATAAACTTCGAAACAACAATAGATTTTTTCGTATTAGATGTTTAATCAGTGCTGCTCATAATAGGTTAGGTCCATGATTAGTTTTCTTACTTGTTAGTTGCTCTATTAATAAAATCGTTGGCCAGTGTAAGTTATTACAGATCTTATCACGAGACCAGCTTCGTCTAAACTGTGTCTAAAAAAAGAGTTAAAGATATATTAAAGAATTGATTACAAAAAAAATAATTGCCGTTTGACGTATGATGTTGCTAGGAACGTGTAATTAAGCGTTTATTATAGTAACTACTGATTACTAGATTGCAATATCATTGATTAGGGTAATATTAATTTTTATTTAGTTCGCTCTTAGGATTAGAAACGAAAGTAAAGTTTCCTTTATGCTTAGTGCTAAATATTTGTGGAAAAACTGCCTTACAATAAAATATTTTTCTCACAAGAAGACCTCATCAACTCGAACACTTTAACTGGATTGGTTCTATAATTCGGTTCAAATCACAGTGTTACGGCTATGGAAGATAGACATGGTCCTATAGTCCTAATTTTGTGAACATTTTTTGTTCACTGAAAAGACCCTGTTTATATAACGCTTTTTAATTAGAACTCATATTACGGCAGCACTTGCATGAAGCTACTCCTTAGGAAACTAAATCTTATATTACGGAGACACTCGCATAAAATTGTTCCCCAAGAAAACGGATCAATTATAATAGTTTTTTGGCGATTGCTTTTGGCAGAATATTCATTCCTACCTTAGTTACAGTTTTACAACGAGTAAACATGTGACTAAAACGATTTTTCAGAATTTCCGTAAGAGCACTTTCATCCTGCTGATCTCACATGTCTATCATTTATGTGAATGAACATTATGCACATTGATGGCACTTTTTCTGTGAGTAGAATTTATGTGAAGAGAATATATCAAAAGTCAAAAAACCTCATTTGTTGTCAATCGAACTTACTCCTATTTCTGTCTGAGTACGATTTGTTTTTTTCAGCACAGAACATGCAATCTTAGAGCAAGGCTTTATTTGTTCAGCTGGTTTATGTTAGGTATACGTCCGTAAGTTTACGGCATGTGACAGCTAGCGTTTTCATCGTAAATAACAACCTGCGCATATAACATATTCGTAGATAGATTGTGAGACAATGGGTCATGTGTTATCAAGCTATACTAGAAATGTCGAATATGACCCGTGGAGCTTTTTAGTTAGAACAAAGAGCCAGCACATTGGCTCTTCTGGCATAAATAACATTGGTTACCATAACATGTTACCATATGTCTCACAATAAGTACCTATATCAGGCACAAAGAACCCTTTTTTGCTAAAAAAAACACGGCGAAACGAATTTTTGATGAAGTTGTTAATTGACAAAACGTTATTTCAACGTCAAAAATACAAGTAATTGTGTAACGGCGCTAGTTGCATTATCGTAACACAAATACTTAGTTTTTTGACAGTAGAAACCTATGTCTACAATAGAAAACCCTTAAACAGATACAGAGCTCTCATGTTAAACACAAGTCACCATTTTCAAGATACAGAAGAAAAATTATCTTTGTCGCAAATGCAGAAACGCCTAGTTTCGCAGTTACGTATTTGGGGAACTATCTTGGTTTTTCTCCGAATATCAGTTTTTTATAAAAAAAAATAAGCAGCCTAATTTGAGCCTTTGAATCGACAAGGTCCTTTTAAAAATAAGGTCTGTAAAAAAATGTGCGACTCACATACAAAATCCGACAGGCAGAAACGAAGACGATGACAAATCATTAACTTAATTCGATAGTCAATTCAGTTTCGTAAGATCATCAACTTACAGGTCCGAATGTATCGCACTCCTGAAAGCGCTCTGCACCTCTATTATACCATCGAATTCAGCAGAGCATATAACACCTCTATGTACTCATTCATGCATTTTGTAGATTTTTATTTATTTGGATAAATTGACCAAATTATCACCTTTTTTTAAGACGTCCGGTTGTGTAAATCTCTCTAGTGAAAATTGAATTCCTATGTTCTACTCTATTCATTATCGTCATGATTAAATTACCTATAATTTACCGATGATACTATTACCAGATTATTCCCAAATTGGCGCCAAAAATGTTTTTAAAAAACCGTGTCGTCTGCGCTTCATCCATTAACCCTTAGCAGCTAGTGATTGGAAAGCAAATAAAAATAGACAAAAATTGGTCTGCTATTAGGGTTGTTTATTGTCATCCTGTTTGAGTGCAGCGAGAGCTGCACCGATGTCACCAGTTGAATAAATGTATGGGATGTTTAACGGACAGTGCCCAGTAAAGTGTTTAAAGACAGTACGTAAAAGATCCTTTAAAGCAAGCTTTAACTTTGTTGAGTGTTGCGCTAAGAAGTTAGAATGTTCCGACGAAATCCAACACGTATTGAAATGACAACTGAAGATATTGAAGAGTTTCACGAATTCAAGAAAGAGCTCGAGTCTGCCAAAAAGGACCCAAAAGAACAAACAGCACGGGAATCTATTAGACCGGGCACATCTGTGCGAGATATTTGTGAAGCTGTCGGATTGAGGAAGCGAGGAGCTATCTAAATATAGATGAAGAACGAAACGAACCACTTGATAATTCTAATATAGGTTCCAGAAGATATTCAAATTTGGCGGGTAGGTACTATTGTGGATGAGCCCCGCAATTTTAGTGGTTAAGAACTAATTGATACTTCAAAAATTTCTAAAAAAAAATCGTCTTTGAGCTCGACACGATCCCACTTTATAATTCATTACGGTTCGGGGACTTTTTTTTTCTAGGCGTTCTTGAACCGAGCGCACAGATCGCCGATCGAAGTAGCTGTTAGTGAGCTGGCGGCAATCAACAACAACAACAAAACGCAAGAACGCAGAAGGAAGTTCGTCCGGCTACTGCCACTGCCATTCAAGATGGCTAAGAACTCGACTTTGCCAGACTCTAGGGCGGAACTCGCAGAACTCGTCAAGCGGAAAGCGGAGATCGCGGTGAGTGTTTGATACTGGCGCAGCCAAATCCTCTTCAGTGTGTGCAAAATGCAGGGAATGGTTTAGTTTACAAAGTCTTAGCCATTTCATTGCCGGTCGCTAGGCCTTTTAGAGATGATATCAGAGGGAATTCCAGGCTGCCGCCATATTCTCTAGATGGCGCTGCTAGCGCGATTGCTCACCCCCGGGCTAGTGAGCGGCGCGGACTGCCACCGCGCGTATCTTTTAGTTGTGTTTTATGAAACATTGGATGTATTATACTAGGTGCCAATAATATATTTAGACATACGCTGTTGTTTTATAGTGAGATAAACCTTTCGATACTGTGTTTTATATTAGATATCTCAAAAAAGGTCAATTCTTTTGCTTGCGCCTTGGACTGGTCTAAGCGAATTGCACATGAGTATTATATACAAACTGACTTTTTTATACTATGGAACAAACATTTACTCATTTTAAAACGCGGAGCGGAAAATAATTTTCAAATAATTGCTTTAATTATAGAGTATATACTGGAAAATTGATTTGGATTTCGTCAGTGATACTTAGAGTATTTAATGATATATAGCTCTGATATAATTTCAGCTGTTACGGATAAGTAGTATGTCAGCATATCATGTGCACAATAAGTATCGTTTATCCTGTTCTGCTGTCCTGCTACTACCTTCTCGTAAATAACTTTAAGAATCAATATTATTTTGTTTAAGCCTGTAAGACTTACGTGGTAGTTAGTGAAACTAATGTTAGGAATCAATCTAGCAAAGATAATTCATTGGGAGTACGTTGAAAGTCTATCCCTTTTAGTTTTGGGCGTACACTTTTTTCATTTTTTATCTGATTTAATAAAGGTGTTTTGAGTGTGTCGCGATCAATTCACTTACAAGTTTTTGTAAATTGTTTTCGAATGTTTACAACTATAGGTTATATTCTGTTCGTAATAGTGGCTTTATGCTTAGCATGAATTTCTCATTAATTTTTATACGGTCTGTGGGTGTTACACCATAGTCGTAGGCAATAATGTCAGAAAATTTGAAATAATATATTGAACTGATACAACAATGTGTGCTTATTTATGTTTGTGAAAATCTAGGAAACGCTGGCAAATCTTGAACGGCAAATTTATGCATTTGAGGGAAGTTATCTCGAAGATACGCAGTTGTACGGGAACATTATCCGGGGATGGGACCGGTATCTTGGAGGAGGTAGCGGGACTCAGCGGCCGACGAATTCAAAAGCGGACAAACGAAACAGGAAGTTTAAGGATGCTGAGCGACTTTTCTCAAAGTCGTCCATTACTTCAAGCGCGGTAAGATTCTACTGTTGTCGCTTTTGTTGTTTTTCGTGTAGTAGTGTTTGCATCAGGCTAGGCATGTATCTGTCGAGAGCTGCGCATATAAAGAGTATCTTATATTTTTTGTACGCTGTTTTTGTTAACAGCGTAATATTAATGAAGTACCGCTAGTAAAGGTTAAAACGATCCATCTTATCTGGCTTGTTACAAACTGAATGATGCAAGTATTTTTCAAGCGCCTTTGGCTATTTCTACAATCTGAACGAATTTTCGGAGTGACCCCTGCGTTCAAGAACTCGCCTCCACTAGAAAGTCTAGTCAAAATGTGTCTTTCTGGATTTATCTGAGGTTTTCCTAACAAACCTACGTTGCTGATTTAGTAAATATTTATTATCCTACAAATCCTTTAGGCGGTCTCAGGCTTGGTGGACGGAGGGGGCGATACAGCAGATGATCTTGATCCCGCAGGGGCTACACATAGCGAGGGAGAAGAAAACGGTAAGCTGTATCTCCCTGCAAATTGCACTCATTCCATAATCCGATAACAAATTAAAAACTTCTCTTAGGTATAACACTATGAAACTATCTGAATGCCACTATCTGAATAAATTACATAAAAATGGCCGCTTGAAGGGCCAATAGATACTTCTCTTGTGTAATGTATGCTAATTAGGAAAAGCTATAGAATTTCTAAATTGGAAATAAAGTTGTGAGAATAGCTGTAGGTCTCTCAAAAATTGATTTCTGTAAAGAATACTAAATGGCACTACCAGGAGATTTGACGTAGCATCGGGTGGTGCACGGTGACTGATTTTTATAGATATGCAAAAAAATGCCAGAAAATGTTTGACCTGTGTGGCTTGCTAGACCACGGCACAAATCCAATAAAAAAATATGATCCTGGTTTCTGATGGTTCCGCTTAAGGTAGGTTATTATTGTTGACCGTCAAACGAAACGTTCTTATTTAAAGGAATATATTATTAATAAGGTTCCGACTTACAGTCCCAAGTTGTTTCTCACTCCTGTGCTACGTTTTGAATAAAACGTGTAGAGTAAAAACTATTGTCATAGTCAATTTTATATTTGTAATCACTGAAGGAAAAGTTGAAATAAATTGACGAAGTTGCTGGACGACTTCAAAAGTTTATATATAAAAAATATCGAAAACAATAATATAGTTTAATCCGAACTAGATCTCTGACCTAAGTAACTTTGAATCACGCCACTTCTTGCTGTAGTGGTAGCCTTTTGGGTTCCTGTGAGTGAGTGTTCTTTGAGATCCGGATCTAGACACATTACCCCGGAAGATGGCTGCCAGAAGTTAACAAAAAGGTACAAATATAATACCTAGAAGGCTTCACGCTAATTGGTCTTTTCACGGTCCATTTTTGTACAATTCCGTCTACTGAAAAAACGTTGCGCTTGTTTTTTCTGACAAGGAAACCCCGTCAATGGAAGCACTTTGAAATAGGGAATTATCTCTTAGTGGATAGTTGACATTTCAGACAGGGTAACGCGAATAGTGTTGCAAATGCCTTGTTCTCAAGATACTAATGTTTTAATTGTAGTCAAAATTGGTTTAATGAATAATTGTTTTAATTGTTTCCGAAAAATGCGTTTAATCTGAGTGGTATATATATTTGAGTCAACTTCCCGCTGGTATTAAAATCGTATCGAGTTTTATCGAGAAAAATGAACATTTAATTTGATCCTGATTAGACGGCGTACTGGAGCATGCAATAAAGAGCTTAAGCACCCCTTTGACTGCTTTCCTAGTGAACATTCGTCTACGATTCCGCGAGGATCCAAAGAAAGCAAAAAAAAATAGTTTGACAAATAATCACAAACCAGTTGATAGTGAGGTAGCAGTGGACTCGCTTTTTTAATTAATGATTTGTGCCACCGCATAGCTCTAAAAAGGATAATATTAATAAAATATTTTTATTAATCAATAATTTTAACATGTTTATTAATAAATGATTTCCACAAAGGAGTTATTCAATTATTACTCGAAGTTACAATTTTTTTCAACTCGATCCATCAAAAAGAGCATTTTTGGTACAGTCTTGGACTACAATCGGTTCGATGTAGTTATTTTATAGCATTGCTTAAGATTTTGTTTATATTTTAAGATTTTGCACACATTTCTATAAAACTATGTGATAATAAAACATGTAAAGGTTTTATAAATAAGAACAATCTTTATACCTACTTGCATCACATGGGTATACGAAAAATCACGGTATGTGAGTCGTTGCATTCAGTCAGGCAAACTAATAATTTCCTAAACCAACAATTCGCTGCACTAATTTAGCTATTTTAATAATTCTCTGATACTATTATTAATTTCAACAACCCGTATACATCAGAAAAATATATAAGGAATTTAGTAAAGCCTAGTTCTATTCGCGAATGACGTTATGCTATGATTTGCCGATTGCATACTGAAATGTTATAATGTCACCGACATCATTATGTCGTAATGGAACTTGTTCAACAAAATTCCAAAATAGTTATCTTAATTTATACTGGGCTGTTCACTTGAGCTAAAATTGAACTAAGGGATTCGATATCATTGTTTACGTTATTTTTATTGCAGTATATGTATTGAGTCAACTCGTGTCGTTTTGAAAGGCCTTTCTCATAAATATTTACATTCAAGTATTAATATTGTTCTCAATTAAAGACTCTGGGCTCAGTATTCAAGTGCCGCCTCTGAACTAACTGAACCACGCTGTATGGAAAGTACAAATTATCATAGCTTTAATGAGGAGGTATATTCATTAACTCGTGATTCCGTGCAGGCGGTAGTGGAGATCGTAGCGGTGCTATCGGTGGTGGTGCTGGAGGGGGAGGGGGCGGAAATGCTTCATCTGCTTCGTCGTTTACTTCGTCATCATCAAACTGTTCAACAACAGCCGGTCTTAACGGAGGCCATTCACCTCCACACCCTCCAGCCTCGCTCGGCGGAGGAGGAGGAAGCCATAAATCTCATAATGCGCATGGCGGACCTCCAGTTAAGAAACAAAAAACTGCTCAAAAAAAGCTCAAAAGGTGAGAGTGACGAAGCTTCGGATGATGAACCCTGCAACTTCAACATCAACATTAACAACAGCAACAACAACAGCAAACACTAAGCTGCAATGGGTTCCAGCTGAAACAGCAGCAGAGCATCTTTAGCCAACAACAACAACATTAACAACAATAATCCGCACAACAAAATAACATCAACCTCAATACAAGGTAAACAATCGTGTTGCACTTGTAGCTTGCCGAAAAAGAGGACATTTTTAAGTTGGTCACAAATGTATTTCAAGTTTAGGGATGATGATCCAAAACACGTAAAGCACTGGCTCGATGTCTTAGATTTCTAGATTTTTGAAAATTAATATACAAGCAAATTTAAGTTTGACATGAATGTTCCCTGAGTTGCCATCATCGAATTCGTTTTACATATTTTCCATAATCTTTTCTTTCGTTGTTCTGTGTTTTACCCTTTTATTGTAACAGCAGCGGCATAGTATCTAGTGGTAGTAGCAGCGGTCGCACGAATAATAACTCTGGTGCAGGAAACGTCAGAAGTAGAAGCGGAAGCTCGAAAGGCCAGCGGCGATGACTGAGACGATCTCCTAATTATAACTAATATCGATGTGATACAATAAACTATGATAATGACTATAGATATATATAATATAGCTCTACCGCTATTATCGCCAGCACAATTAATAATTTCAACAGCTGTATTTTAAAACTTATATGTGTACAATTTCCATTATATGTGTATGATTTCCTGTATGGACTTACGGGTACGTGAAAATTTATCACGCCCAATGTGGATATAAATAATGTGGCGCATTAATAGGGCAGAGAAATAATAGTATCTGTATGAACGTACAGACGGTACAATAACAATATGTGTATGAGGCGAATGGATTAAAGAAACGAAACTAATAAACAGTTTTAAGGAAGATGCAGAGTTAAGAACGTGTATTCGGTCACTGTACCAAAACAGATAAAATAAGCCAGTTCTTTTAATGAATTCAACGTTATTCGCAGGTATTATCGGCAAACATGTTTCATTTTACACAATTTTAGCCAAGTAGTTGCCTATGGAAGTAACTTGAGTTATTAATGGTCAAATGGCCGCGCTTCCACAACAAAGGCAAGCACATGTAGACTATAGCGTGTAGATATGTGCTCTAGAGATTTTAAGACAAAAACATCAAGGTGACGTAGATAATGCGGGATAAGTTGGTAACATCATAGTAAGTGGTACGTTAAACAATGGATGGATTAAATAGATCCGTATGTCTTAATAAAGTTGGTGTATTTTCTCTCTGATAAATTTAAACGCCACTTCTCAAACTCACTGTTCTGAATCACAGAAGACGATAAATACGGATACATTTATTAACAATGATTAATTACGTATCTATAGGAGAATGCGAGTATTGAAGTTTCATTACTTTTCTTAGAAGTAGTGCTGCGCAGTTCATTAAATTTTAAATATAGTACAATAAATATTAAGTGCAAAATGAATATACTGTACTATGGTGCTCAACATAAAAAAACTCAGTGTGAGTTAAGCGTAATACAACTTGAAATATTCCCAATTTTCAAGGGTTGAAACCTTTTGGCGGCAATACCATGCAACGAGGCTGTGGCATTGGGGTTTTAGTTTTCAATAGACAGGATTATACTTAAATGCGGGAAAGAAAAATGCACCTGCAGGAACGGTAAAAGTAAGTTTAAATGGAGGCAGCATTGAAAAATATTTCAATTAATAGCTCGACGATTACTGGAATATAAGTACGATTATGCTGCTACAACATTGATGATTCGAGTGCCCGTACGCGTTTATGTACAAGCCACGCGCTATTCAGAATTCATTATTATCATTGACTAGTGCTTGATTATGTATGCTTTTATTTTATCGAGCGTAGTTTATTTACTTAATACGTAACCTATGCAGTCAAGGCTCTGAGCCATTAAAGCACAAAGGCTAAACATCAGTTTTCAGCAAAGAGTAATTACCTAGATAGATATACCACATAAGATGTCCTTATGACGTCTGCAATTCTATTTGCATTAACTGTCACAGTCAGAAACGAATGAATTAAATAGCGTATAATTAATCAATAAAATAAATAATAATAAACGATTAAATTAACATAATTTCCTGATAAGCCTAACGTTTTCTTTTTGTTATATAATACGGAGCAGCGAAGTCGATAAAGCATGATATTTGCGGGTACAACTCAGCCTAACCTAAAAGAGGCTACATAACACATTGCCTGTATATCCAAAAGTTCCATGTGGGTCTCTTCAGACTTCACTAGGCTCGAAACTTGGCTTTAAGAATTAAATGTACACTGCGTTGGACAAAATCAGGTCATACATGTGCATGCAATGACAAGGTCGGTAATTCCGCACCTTTTCGGATAGTAAATAAGCATAACCTAACTGCAAATACTAAGTCTTGTGACTCCAACATTGTGGGACGAATCGCTCTTTCAACGGACGAGTCAAGTGTCACTTAAACGAAAAATGAGTCGCACTCCTAAAGTAGCAACACTGATTTACTTTAACTAACCTTATAATGTTTCATGTATTAATTTGAAGCCTTACACATAGGTATTTTACCAAACGCGTAAAATTCGCGTCCAGTAACTGTCAGTTGTATGTCTCATTCCTCTGTTCCCACTGGAACTATTTATGCTCCATTACTTTGGTGGAGTGCCAGTGTGACTACTTTTACCTGTTAGCTGTTGGTAAGTTTAATTATTTTAAACCTGTGATTAAGCCTGTTCCGGACGGCTATCCTCCTTTTTCCTTTTTTCTTCGAGCTCGTTTGTTTTCCCAACCTTGTTCATCACATTCGTTCTTTGCACCTATATACTCCTGTTCTCAATCATCCAGGCAAACACACTTCCATGCAAGGTTGGCCATGTCTGTTTTACACGTCGCAATTCTATCGCCGTCCGTGCGCTACCATCCATTTGTTTATTTTTTAGAGCAATTTACGCCTCTCTCTGTGAACTATCTTTGCTTTCTATAAATTCCAATAGCTGTTTCATCCAGATGGGCCATACTTTGCATCCGATCTGGCTCGAAAAGCTCCAGAATCTAATTACAATTCGTAATTCAAAACAGGGATTGAGTTTCCACCCTTCGAGCACTCTTGCAGGCCCTACAAATTTTCTTGTCGGAAACGAATGATGGCGATGTGAAGAAGGTAGGAGGCGATTAGACTTGAAAAATATCGAGAGATGCTCCTCTCTCTTATTGCGTCTATTAACACAACTTTAAAGTATTGAAAACAACGGGTCCATCTTGTCTAATAACCACGTACAATTCTTTGAACCACTGGTTTTTGTTCTTCTGTATTTCTGCGTTTATAAAAATCCCATTGACGCGGCTTTGGTATCTCTGAGAAATTCTTATTAAATCCTTAAGGTCTCTTATATGTACAATGTTTTCGGAAGTTTCTCCCACTGCGTCTAGTATACAAAACAGGCGGAGTGCTTCAAAATCTGTCGAGTTTTCCCAAAGCCTTTTTCCACTCCTAAAGGGTATCTTTCAACTTGTCATACCTGTCCACATATCATAGCTTTTTCAGCCTGTGATTATCCCGTAGAGTTTCCTCACACATTGTTCTTGTAAGGTCGTCTTACATATCACTTTAGCAGGGCCGGCACAATTTATGCTTGGACATGGCCCATTGTGCCAAGTAATCTCTTCCCTCTAGACCTTATTTTCGCCCTGAGCGTGTCCCCCCATCAAACTTGTCAGCTGATGGTTCACTGTGCTCTTCGATATCTTTGTTCGTGCAAGATCCAATCGGTTTGCGAATCTTCTTCGAACCTCGAGTTCCGAGTAAGTTTAGCTGAGTTTCAATGTACTACTTATGTAAAAGACTTTGTTACCTCCCTCGAACGCGGGTGAAAGGTTGTTGTTGAAAAAGGTGTTATGTTCGGTTAATCATTCTTCTACAGTCTTTGGTTTCTCCAAATCCTTTTAACATCCCCAAGGCGAGATATAACAGCTAAATTCTACAGAGTCAATGTCCATTTTTACCCAGGCTAATCCCTTCCTCACGCCTTGTCCTTTTATGGCCAGTTGTAGTTTAATCCAGAGAGCTGCGACATGATGTTTTTTGAAGTAGTACTTAACTCGCTTGCGATTCAGCCAGTTGTTGTACCGTTTGCAAAAAAGTAGCATTCCCAGTTTCTCTTTTGTGAGCTAGGTGCGTCTTTTGTATGTTGTGAGCGTTGTAGGTCAGTTTATTCAAGCTTGAATGTCTGGACCTCAGAATTTTTTTGAATGTCTTTTGCCTATTACCGTTCTTGCTGCTCATGCCTTTCTTTACTGTGTTATATTAAATTAATTGACTGACATCCTCTAACGCCAAGACGTAAGTACGTCTACGTTTCATTCACTCTGTAAAAACTTGTTGCTCTCTTCCTCTTTTTCATTTATTATTATTAATAAATGAAAAAGAAGAAGAAGGCGAAAATATGTTTCGCTCTTTACAAGCGAAACATATTTTCGCTTGTTACACCGTGTGGAGATATACTATTGCTAATGATAATAATGTGTAATTTTGTTTGCGACTTAAAATGATAATCTGATGCAGTTACCCACATATAGTCTTAGAGATATATCAACCAGTTAAATTCAAATCGCAGTGATAACTTTTAGGGTCAGCTGAGTTTACATGATTTTTTTTCATATTAAATAGAATGTCAATTAAAGAGAGAGAAAGGCCTTAATATAATCTCCTACTAGGGGCAATCAAATATGATATAATCGTTCGGAGACATAAAAACAAGCCTTTTTATTGCGTACATATTACATACTTTATTAGGTAAATGAAAAACATCTGGAACGAAAAATAATGGAAATACCGATATTAGCTAGTATCGATTACCACGGCTAAATTATTTCATTATAATACTGGGTACTACCAAGTGTATTGTATATTTTCCGGAAGATAACCAGTATGTGTTCATAACCCCATTGTTCTACTGAAGGCACCTCCGAGTGAACGCCAACAGTATACGCTTCTAACCTCGTATAGTGCCAGCAGAGCTTTGGCCAGGAAATGTAGGTTCAGGGAAGTTACATCCAGTGGTACACCTTCTAATGTTGTGTCGGCTATAAACTCTACATTCTGTTATTTTCTCCTTCTTAAATAAACTTACCCATACATTCTAAAAGAAATCAAGGTTTAACCATAATTCGGATTCTTGGAGAACTATTTCTAATGGTTGGCTTACCCATATATCAGCCCATATGCTCCACTAATGAAAAAGCCATTTAAAAATAGTTCCAGGTGAACTTAAATCAACCTTGTTACACGACGTTTCAAGTCTCCGTAAGTGAAAATTCATACCCTGGTTAGGCAATACGTTTGCATCGTTTCGTTTTCCAGCCTGTCCTAATGTTGTTTTTGTTTACAATGGTTATAAATATTTGCTCGCAGCTTGATAACACAGTCGGCATACATTTCAAGATCTTTCGGTTTTTGATATGCTATTTTACCCCTAACATATTTCGAGTCTCAATTCTATGAGATTTCTCTTCTAACGAATCACTAAAAGCTAGGCGGTCAGACGGTCACACCCCGTGACTAATAGCTGTTGTTTTAATTAATTAAGAGTGCCTTAACTAAAAACTGACTTAAATACTGAATAAACGACTTTACACAAAATCGCGAAAAATTCTAGCAACTAAGTCACAAGACGTTATAATAGAAGTTATAATAAAATTATATCTAATACGATTAAACTGGCTATCGTAGCCGAAGGAATAACAAGAATTTCTAGAACTATCTTCACGAACAGGTACATGAAACCTAATAAAGTTATGAAGACTCTAAAAATATTTTTGGTCACGCAAGAGAATTTGGATATAAATAACTTTTATTTAGTGGATGTCGTATTCACTTACTGTAATCATACATGTTCGAACGAAATTTCAATCCGTGGTTAGTTATCGCCGATGCAAGCCGTGTTAGAGGCTAAACAATCCGTGTCCAAATAATGAATGTCTGCCATTGTGCAATCAGAGGCATTATGCTCGCCGTTTTTTTAAATCGCTAATTTGGTATAATATGTGCCTGGCCAACTGTTTTCTTAGTTGTTTCATTTTTGGTCCGAAAATATTTTCCTTCTAAATTACGTTATGGGTGCCAAATGAAACAGCTTCAATTATAAACACAACATCCGAAGTACAAAAGTTTGGCCAAAGAAGCTCAGAGGTTCGACTTATTGTCCTTAGAGCACGTAATCTTTATCGATAGATAGAACGAATGATTCCATCATGGCGTTAAAACGTTTTATTCGGAATATAATTATATTTCTCGTACGGATAAAAAACAATGCCTTAGCACAACATACTCATTTTTATCTCTCTAAGTGTTTCCTAGCATTTGCCGCAGTAATCATGAATAATTTTGAAATAACTTTTTTATTCACGCAGATTATGTAGTATGCATCATATTTTTATTATTGTCTGATCAATTAATAATTAGATAAGGTTTCTTATCTAATTAAAAAAAATTACTGATTTGACTTGATATTGTTGGATCCAGACAAACATGAACTACCATTTAAATTTATAATTACAATAGTTTCCTTATTTTCTTGGAGCTTGCTCACTTTTTAATTATAATTTTGCCCTCAATCCATTACAGTTACCGCCTTCTGCTCTCTTAGTTATTTCGTTACACAATTTGATACCCTATTATAATATATATGGCGTTTATTTAAATTAATAAGTTAGCAAAGTATTAGTGCGGTTGTTTCGTTGTACTCGTTACAATTACCAAACAATTATGTTTGAACAACTACATTTCCTTATTCTAGCAACAAGCTTATTTCACTGGAATTATCCCATTACCTTGTTGCAGTTCGCAGACTTGGTTTGCAACTTACTTATTATTTTTGTGAGTGTATTAAACTAAAATTAAACCGCTCCTCCCTGACAGTTGCTTCACTAGTTTAATATATTGTCCCGTTTTTGACCGTGTTAGTTAATTCGATATGTGTATAAAAATTGTTCTGAATTGTTCTGGTACCCCATTACGTATCGTATTTAGTTATTTCAAGTTTTCTCA